GCTAAGATGTTAAAGCGGGCACTACCACTGTTAAGCCTAGCACTGCAAGTTAAGCACTGCCTAAGATGTCAGCAATCACAGCTTATTTTCGAATAACTCTTCTTTTAATAAAAAGCCCTACACTTACGTCACGCTTTAGGCTATATATTTTACGCCGTTAAACTTAGAGGTAAATATTTTAGATAAAAACCCTAATGTGGGAAAGAGACCATAAGTTGCCAACATCAAGGAAGCAATGATGCCATGGCTTGACATCATGGCATGTCATTTTGACATTTGTAGTTGATAATTTGACAAATGTGAACAATACATTTTTATAATTTTATGCGGATGAAGTCACGTGGGAACAGCTAGTGTCTAGATATTAATGGACCAAAATCGAGGACATTCTGATGTAATTATTTACAGAAATAATTACATCAGAATGTCCTCGATTCTTCCTTGATCATTGTTATCAATTTAACAGACAAACATTACATGAGTGCTTAATGACATTTAGATAAATATATTGCATTAACTTTCATGTAAGAGTTATCTAAGTTTAATAGAAAATTTTATAGATTTGGGGAATCACGTACTAATGGACATTAATAATATATGTATTTTATATCACCTGTAATCGATACTACAAGAAACTGCAATTCAAAAACGGATTCACAGACACAAATTAATTAGCAACGCATTGGATAGTACGTAATAACACTATGGGCTTATGTCACTATCAAACGCCTCTTAATACATATAATAAAATTGAAGTGTCTGTTTGTAATATAAAAAAAATTCCAGATTACAGGAAGATGATGTATTTGCTTATAACGAAAATCGCGATTAAAAAATGTTTGTCTGTCTGTCTGTCTGTCCTTCACTCCGCAAGCCGTGTTTCTATCGGGTAATAACCGACACGATTGGGCCGATTTCCAGAGGACGTTCACTGAAGGGCAGCTGACATGCTGCTATGGCAGGGCATATAGGCTTTTTATCTTAATATTGCGTGGACGCAGTCGCGGGCAACAGCCTATAAAAATCTATAAAAAGTCTAACGAAATAATTTACTATACATCGTTACGCCAATCAAACAATCTCTGTTTACATTTAGCTTGTTTAAAATAGATTGCATGTTTACCGCGTGCCTGAAAATTCAGAGTTCAAACTTGTTTAGCAAACAATCTAATTATAAGGAAAGTTAATTCTAACCGCGTCTATCCCAATTTGTAGACACCTCAACTTGTGCCATTACAATTTTACAAGGGCTGTGTTTGCTCTGTGATCGTTTTGCAAACAGAATTAATGGAACGTTCAAGCTAAATCGGCTTATTGCCAACCCTAGTTGATGCAGTGAATATTTTAACATTACCTAATTTAAAAAGTATGATTTTTGTATTACGACCACACTCAGAATCCTTTAAAGGTAAGGTCCTGTCCCTTAATGTTTCTCAAACAAAATCTACAGTCTAAGTGTCCACAAAGGCAACAAAGATCTAGCTATAAAATTATAAATCTTCTACGGAATCTGGATTCCTCATGAAATTTAAACTCGATTGCATTCCTTTGAGGTATCAGACAAAATATCATAACCACGACTTCTGAGGTAACATCCCATCAGGAAACATTAAATGAATAAATGAATGAACTGAAAATCGATTTTAAAATTGACTCGGCGCCGTCCGATAGTTTGTTATTTACCAGATGTCTTACGACCTCGCTTTTCACAGACATTGAGGTCGGTTTTAAAATTTAGTAGGTTTCTTTACTTACTAAACTCGGCAAAGAGTATATCTGACAACGTATTCGAAAGGTCTTTGCAAGAAATTGAGAAACCCAAACTAGGACCGTGGTAGCGCCCGCTTTAACAACTTCGCACTTGTTACCACCCCTTTCTTAAGACGAAAGGATTGAAAGGAAAAGTGTATTTCACGGAGGAGGAGACGCATAGGAAGGGGAAATATAATGTTTATGTGCGTCTCCTCTTCCGTCGATTAAAGCCGGAAATATTCTTTTACTTTTCTTAGATCAGAAATGGTTGCCACTCGTGATCTACCTGTCCGGTAAGTTCTCGATCACGGTGGCGTACAGCTCAGTGTATATCTACGTGTCGGAGGTGTTCCCCACCAGCGTGCGG